TTTTCGTATGAAAAAAAAAAAAATGACATAATTGACAACAAAAATAAATTACAAATTAGCAATTTTTATTGCTTATCATATTCCCGTTCACTATGTATTGGGTTGGGGCATACAAAAGTCCGTAAAACAAAATCCAATAAAGAGTAGAGATTTAAAATCCAAGAGGAATGTTGGTTTTTAGGGCTTAAAATCGGCTCTGCGGCTGCGCCTATGCCTATTCAGGAGTGTTTGTTGGCTCTTCTTCCTTCCACCACAGCGCAAAGAGGAATAAAATAATAATAATTGAGAAGAATGTCCCTCAATCTTTTTGCCCACGCCAAATCAAAATTCAAATCCTTCCTAAATTTGTGCACAACTTCTACCATCAAGGATGAGAGCAAGTTTTTGGTTTCGCAGCGTGTAGTACCACGGGAAGTGGGCGAGGGATCTTTACATTTCTCGATAATTTCGATCAAGGATGAACTTCCTCAAGTCGAAAAACATCTCGAATATCCAATGGCCCAGGATAATCACCTTCCCTCATCTATTTGCAATGGTTTGGTGCTGCTTTTGGTACCAGCATCATATTATCCAGTTACCTTCAAAATGAAACAGCCTATCATCAAAATGAGAAAGCCTTCAGGGGAGGCTTTGTGGAACCCGACCACAAGGGAATTCAAAATCCTTCCTCCACCACCCTCATCCTTTGACAAAAGGTACGGATACTTGTCAAACCTCGTAGCAGTCTTATGTTTAGGATCAGGTGCAGGGCTTCAACCTGGTTTTAATTTTTTGGTTGATGGTAAAAATTATTATATAAATGATGGAATTTATTGCTAAATCTCATTTATTTGTTTGACAAATTCAATAAAATGACTTATGTACTTTAATGAAATGGCATATAACAAGAATGACAAGACTATTACCTTTTAATAAATTATTTTCTTTTTAATTAAAATTCAAGTAAATGAAAAAATTATATTTGTATATTTTTTTTAAGAAAATAGTAATAATGAAATAATAAAAAATAAATATTTGTCAATAAGAGAGTAGAGTAGTTAAAAATTCACAAGTTTTTGTTAAAGGAGAATCGTTTTCATATAAATCACGACTAGTTATAATTTTTATTTTATAAATGCAACATTCACTTTTTAATTTAAATTTGAAAATTATTTTCATACTTTGATTTCTTTATACTGAGTATGTTGTTGTTGTTGTTGTTTGATTTCTTTATACATGTATCTCGGTAGATTTTTCGAACAAGTTCGAACTCGTGCTCGTTTAATAAATGAGTTGTTGTTGTTTAATAAACAAATAAAAATTTGAGCTTCGGTTCGACTCATATAAACTCAATTCAAGTCATTTAATAAACCTTAAATCCTAGACCAAAACCCAAAAACTCAAATCGAATTTTTCGCGTACACGCTCGACTCGACTTGTTTGATAAACAAGCTCGGTTAGTTGTTCGAGTTTGGCTCATTTAAATATACCAGCAAGTCAAGCTCGAACTTTTGCAAGTTGAGTTATGATGAATTGACTAACTGCATTTTTCATAACATAATTGGGTGCTTAGAGTTTTCGTGTTTAATTTTATCTTCGAAAAATTAAATGGATAAAACATTAGTCCCAACCTGTACTATACGCGATTCTAGAATTTGCAACCTATAGACATGGCCAAAATATGGGCCGGGTCACGACCCGGCCTGGCCCGCCGGGTCGCCGGGTCCGAAAACACTGACCCTGAACCGGCACGGACCTATACTCATGCCGGGTCCGTGTCCGTGTCCGGGTCAACGGGTTTGACCAGGCCGGCTCCGTGCCGAGTCCGGGTCCGGTCAGGGCCGGGCGACCCTTTGGCCATGTCTAGCAACCTATAGTATTTTTTTGTTGTAAATTACAACCTGAACTTCATGAATTCTTAATTTGCACGCTCGCCTACTGCATGACCATACGATCATCCGCACAAAAGGACACGAGTATAGTCAAGATGTAGATAGGTATGCAAATTATGAAAATTCATGAATTTTGGGTTGCTTTTTAGTTTTTACTACAAAAAAATATTATAGGTAGCAAAACACAAAAGCACGTACTTGTAATATAGGTTAGGAAAAAATTATTTACCTAAATTAAATTGGGTTGAAATGATAGTGAAACCGTTTGTTAAAGTACTAATTTTTAGGATGAAACATGGGTCTAGTTCTAAAATAGACTCAAGTTTATGGATGCTCATCATTCAACTTTTCCCTATAACAAATCATCCTATCAATTTTTTTTGCTCTCCAACAGGTGTAAGAAGATGTTCTACGGTTATTTTGGTTTCGGGTTTGATTCGGCTTCTGAGGATTACAAGGTGATAAGATTGTTGAAGCTCGGTGATGGCGAAACTGAAGATTACCCACTCACTCCAGCTGTGATGGCCGAAGTTTATTCGCTCAGAAGTAATTCATGGAAACAAGTCAGTGTCGTTCATCCTTTAAATATTCCACGACACTCTGGTGTTCACGTAAATGGCACTTATTACTGGTTAAATCTCTCGGATCCTTGGTTTATAGTGTCTTTTGACTTTGCCACTGAGAAGTTTGCTTCCTCTCTTATCCCTGCGCCCCCGAGTGACAAGCTCATTGAAAGATGTGCATATTATGATAATATCGAGCTCGTGGAATATTGTGGGTCGCTCGGTGCTATTGTTATCTCTGGTGAAGACATATTGTCAAGATCACTAGAAGAAACGCGTAGTTTGGAAATTTGGGTTTGGGATGGCTCGTGGTCCCTGGTGTCCACGCTCACCGTCCCTCGTTTTGTGGGTTTATGGACCCTCGTTGGGAGTGATAAATTTATTTTTTCGGACTCGATTGGTAGACCGATGTTTTATGATTTTGCGACGAGCAAGTTGAAGAAGATACACGGTTTGCCTATTTCTTCTAGGATGGCGCACATTTTCCCTTTTGTCGAGAGCAATGTTTCGCTAGACGGTTGAATAAGTATGTTCCGCTCAACTGAGTTTGCTCTATATATGTACATCCTGGTGGTTTGTTATTCTGCTTGCTTTTTTTTTTTTTTTTTTTTTTTTTATATTAATAGGTGTGTACAGTGTTCTTCAGCTCTTCTATATTTTTGTGGAAAATATTTTGGGAAATCAAAATTAATTTTAAGCTCCATTTATGGCACTCGAGATCGACTTTGACAAAACAAGACAATCGCTAGAGCTCAGTTTGAGATCGATTGAAATCAAAATGTTCGAAAGATTTGTCGATCTCAAATTTCAAGTAAAATTACCATTAAGTACATGTATAAAATATTGTAATATTTATATACAACGGGTATTTTAGTAATTCACTAGCGGCTCAACCTTCCAACACTTATGCTTAGTTTGATAGCTGCAACACAATTATGAAAAGTTATTATTTTTCATGTGATGTTTTCTTAATTATTTAATGTCATAAAATTATGGATATAGTTTGATAATTCCAAGTTGTGCGTAATTGGAAAAGTCCATATTTTTTTTTATTTAATACCGAGGTTTCAGGCTTGCGCCTGACTAGTCCTCGAGGAAAAGTCCATATTCATTGTGGATAAAATATATGACATGTACTGAAATATAAAATATTTACATCCTAGTCAAACGTACAATATTTTTTAAATAAAATGAACAATTAATACACTTTGTCGACATTCGAGCCCAGCTAGACAGATTCAGAATTAAATATTATCGCTAACTGAAGAAATAGCCGAGTCAAGTACTTGGATCGAGGATCGTGGGTGAAAACAAACCCCCGAAGTAAGAACAAACGGGAGCCAAGTAAGGAGTAGGTGGAATACCAAGTCAAGTAACCATAGGTGCAAGTCCAACTGGAATTCATCCGTCAAGAGAGTCAAACTCAAGACTTGTACCAGAACAAGCCACGAGTTAAAATCAGATTTAAAGCATACTGAGGCGATAGATTATACTAAAATAAAGGCAACTTGCAGTCACATCATTAAAGATGGGATAAGCCTATCAAGAGGTCTACCAACCTACTTACAAAAGCTTCACAGGATCATGTGCAGCATTTAATGCGTGTCATTTCCAATTAATGCTCAATTGTACTGTTCAAGGAACAGTAATTGTGCCGCTCTTACTATAAATAGTTCCTAGGAATCAATTGTAAAAGGATTCATAAAATTCTCAGTGCAAGAAACATATACTCTCATTAATTGCAGCATTAAACACCAGCACCAAACCGGTGTTTTGCGTTCATCAAATCTGGTGTGATGGACTATGTATTATTCTCTCACTAAAAAGGAAACATAGAAAAACAAGGATTTGAAAATTTGTTCAATAGATAAGTTAAGGTTGTTGAGGTCCTAATTTAATTAACAATTTACATCCTTTAGTTGCTTTTGGGAATCTTGGAACATTTGGGTCTTTCAAGATAATTGGCGACTAAGAAAGGAGACTGGCTCGATTACTATAATTTTTCTTGTAAATATCCTTTGGTTGCTTTTGGGTAGCTTGATACCTTTCGATCTTTCCAGATAATTGGCAGACTAGTAAAGACAATCTTAGAAGTTGTTCAATATTGGCAATTATTATAATTTTGTTTGTAAATATTTTGTTTGCTACCGCAGGATGATGCAACTAGGGGCTTTTCATAAATAGATTTATGAAAAAACGAGTATATCCCAATATATTGTTGGATTCAAAAATCTCGACAATATTATAATTGTTAAACAACCGAAATGGTGGGTTTTAAAATATTTGATAAAAAATTAAGAACATAAAATTTTTTTCTGAACATCAAAATCCTAACATTCATTTTACCATTTAAAAAAAAAAACATTTATTTAAGGAATAAAGATATAGTATTATTGAAATAATTTTGTAACCACCAAAATCTATATATACATAATTACTAGCATTTAAGAAAACCTATTTAATAAAACTTCTAAAATTTTTCCTCTATTTTCGGTTACAAAATTTATCATTAATGGTTTTTACTTCTCATATTAATACATCCTATTGAGTGTAATCATGTATTTTTCTATTATATTATATAATAATTAATGCTAATACCAACTAATAATAATTCATAATAAATATAAATTGTATAATTATAAAAAATTATTTCAAATTATTTATTTTAACATCAATATTTTGTATCTCATGAAAAAATATCTTTAAAAACAATAAGTAAATTGTTTTAATAGAACAGTCAAACAACTTTAGAATCTTATAAACAATTATTTTTGTAATAATAATAATAATAACAATAATAATAATCAAACTGCTATTATCTAATGATAATAAACAAATGTTCTAATAATAAACAATCATTAATTTATTTTTCCTAATGATTAAATTTTAAAAATGTAATATGTTCATTATCTAAAATTTGAATATTAAATTTTCAAATATTACTTATAATATTTTATGTACATATGTGCATGTGCACAGAATATATACTAGTATTGAAAAAAATCAAGCCTTCGGACATTCTTGGGATATGATCTAATTTCTCAAAATCGGCAAAATCAAGTAATTAGTTTATATTCATATAAATCCACATTTTTAAACAAAGATAATTGCAAATATATGCACCAAAAATTCATCTATAAATAGCTTACATCCAAGGTCAAATGAAATGCAATAGTCGTCATATTTGTGTTAAAAAAAAAAGAACAAAAAAAAAAATTCACACGTGGAAAATGAAGTCATGGATCAACCTTTGGCCTAATCAAGAATCTTAAGAGAAATAAGAGGGTCATCTTGAAAAATTGAGTAATACGCATCTTTGATAGGTCGTTATATGCCTCTTATCGAAGTTATTTGGTAATATATTTCCACGATAGTGAGGTTATTATTCTTCATTATGTGATTTAATAGTTGTTGTCAATATTTATTATATTAATTTTTGTTTATTCAAAAATTTTATTTTTGAATTACGATTTTATAGGGTGGCCACATAATTGGATTAATTCGTGGCATTAACATTCTAAAGATGTGTGACATGTTTGAAATTGTGGAATACGTGTCATTCACAATTACCAATTAGAAAACAATATTAGTAAATACAGATCTACTATCGCAAAGTTCAAACTCATTCATGGAAAGACTAAAGTGTTGGACTATCCTACTCCTTTTCCAACGTCTTATTTTGACTTCCACAATTTTGCTATTCCATAATTTTGCTACCTCGCAAGAGGTTGACAATGTGATTTTCAATAAGCAAAATGGTTGTGTTTTCAATTTTATTTTTAAATATGTAGACATATATATGGTTGTGTTTTATTCTAATTATCTATGTGTTATATTATTAACTAGTGCAATACCCGTGTATTACACGGGTGTTGAATTAGAAAATTTTTGTAAGAAATATTATTTTTTTATTTTTTTAAAAATTTAAATAATTTAATTTTATATAAAACACTACTTTGGGTTTTAATTAAATTGTCAAATTATATTCTTTTAATCATAATAAGTAAACACTTGTACATTAAATAAAAATGTCAACCCGTGTTGAATTTGTTTACTTATATCATATAATAATATCGATATTATTTACTATTACATAAGCAAAAAAATATATATCTTAAGTAAATAGAAATATTATGGTGATATGTATATGCATAAGTGTAGAATATGTTTATTTAATATTATGAAAAATATTAATTGATAAATAATTTTATTTTCTAATTAATTGTAATAAATAATTTTATTATTATTATAAAGATAAATATAATTTATTTATTTTATATATACAATATGTATATGAAAATGTCAACCCGTGTTGAATTTTTTTACTTATATCATAATAATATCGATATTATTTACTATTACATAAGTACAAAAATATATATCTTAAGTAAATAGAAATATTATGGTGATATGTATATGCATAAGTGTAGAATATGTTTATTTAATATTAAGCAAAATAGTAATTGATAAATAATTTTATTTTTTAATTAATATAGATAATTTTATTATTACTATAAAGATAAATATAATTTATTTATTTTATATATACAATATGGATGTCAAATCGAAGCTCATCAAAAGATGATTAATTTGATATATTATATATGTAAAACCGATAAGAAATACAAAAGTTATCAACTTTTAAAATATATTTGCAATTCAATGGTTATAATAGGAAATGATATTAAAATACAATTAATACAAATATTAATTTATATCCAAGCCTAACTCCAAAGCATGATTTTTTGTCAAATAAGATTCCAAAGCATGAGAATTTGCCACGTAGGTTCAGCATTCTGAAATTATATATAGAGGGGATGTATATTCCATTATCTAATATTTGTCACTGAATATTGTTTTTGGTACATACTAGTAAAGTTATATTACAGATTTAAAATCCAAGAGGAATGTTGGTTTGTAGGGTTTAAAATCGCTTCTGCCCTGCGCCTATGCGGCTGTGCCTATTCAGGGGTGTGTTGGCTCTTCTTCCTTCCCAGCGCAGCTCAAAGACGAATGAATAATTGAGAAGCATGTCCCTCAATCTTTTATCCCACGCCAAATCAAAATTCAAATCCTTCCTAAATTTGTGGACAACTCCTATCATCAAGGATGAGAGCAAGTTTTTGGTGGCGCAGCGTGGACCATTAAGGGAAGTGGACGAGGAATGGTCACATTACTCGATAATTTCGACCAGGGATAAATTTCCTAAACTCGAAAATCATTTGAAATATCCGATCGCCAAAGACGATCACTATCCCTCATCTATTTGCAATGGTTTGTTGCTGCTTTTGTTACCAGGATCACGTGTTTTCTGTACAGGGAAAATGACAAAGCCTCCAGGGGAGGCTTTGTGGAACCCGACAACAGGGGAATTCAAAATCCTTCCTCTTCCACCCTCAAACTTCGACCCCAGGTACCAATACTTGTGAAACTCATAATTTTTTATTTTTTTTTAAATAAAAATAAAAATTTTTAAGTTAGGGTTGAAATGAGAGTGAAACAATTTGTTGAAGCAATAATTTCTATGATGTAACATGGGTCTAGCCTTAGAATAGACTCAAGTGGATGATACATTATCAGTAAACTTTTTCATATAACAAATCATCCTGTCAACTTTTTCAAGGTTTGTGAAGATGTTCTACGATTATTTTGGTTTTGGGTTTGATTCGGCTTCTGAGGATTACAAGGTTATAAGATTGTTGAAGCTCGGTGATGGCGAAACTGAAGATTACCCACTCACTCCAGCTGTGATGGCCGAAGTTTATTCGCTCAGAAGTAATTCATGGAAACAAGTCAGTGTCGTTCATCCTTTAAATATTCCACGACACTCTGGTGTTCACGTAAACGGCACTTATTACTGGTTAAATCTCTCGGATCCTTGGTTTATAGTGTCTTTCGACTTTGCCACTGAGAAGTTTGCTTCCTCTCTTATCCATGCGCCCCCGAGTGACAAGCTCATTGAAAGATGTGCATATTATGATAATATCGAGCTCATGGAATATTGTGGGTCGCTCGGTGCTATGGTTATCTCGGGTGAGGACACGTGGTCAAGAGCAGTAGAGGAAATGCGTAGATTGGAAATTTGGGTTTGGGATGGCTCGTGGTCCCTGGTGTCCACGCTCACCGTCCCTCTTTCTGTGGGTGGTTTATATAGCCTCGTTGGGACTGATAAATTAATTTTTTTGGACATTAAAGATAAATTGATGCTTTTTGATTGTGCGACGAGAAAGTTGGAGAAGATACGAGATCTGCCTACTTGTACGGAGGCGGATTGTATGGAGGCTCACGTTTTTCCTTTCGTCGAGAGCTATGTTTCGCTCGATGGTTGAATAAGTATGTTCCGCTCAACTCAGATTGCTAATTGTTAATAGTTAGTCTGCTCTCTGGTGGTTTGATGTTTGAGTATAAGATGTTTTGATTTTATTTGGATTTTTTAGTTTAGTTTGGTTAATTTTGAAATAGGTGGTTATGAGTAGTTATTTTGAGCTTATATTAAAATAATATTTGAAATAAAACAAAAGGTTGTTTTTGTGTAAAAGTAAGAGATAGATGATGTGAAGCAATGGTTAGTTAATTATATTAGTTGAATGTGAATTAAAACAATTAAAATGACTTCTTACAGCTCATATTGAACAAGAATTTTACAAGCATTCAACTTTCGCTCATTTGCTTCCTCGCTTGAAGGAAAAAATTTACAAAAATCATCCACACGTAACAGGAATTCGTACCTAATTTTACAAAAATAATTCACACACAATACGAAAACCAATATCAATTAGTAATTAGGCTAAATTCAATGGTATGGAAGAAGCAGCTCTTTTTCCGTTTTCGCTTTGAATCCAACCATCTCAAATCAAACACCCCAACGGTAATTAGTCAGTCAGGTTATGGGTCGGAACGTCAATTCCATGGCCAAAACCCAGTTCCGGTCAAGTTATGGGTCGGAACCACCAATTTTGGGCCTTTTATGGGTCGGAACCGCCAATTCCATGGCCAAAACCCAGTTCCGGTCAAGTTATGGGTCGGAACCACCAATTCTGGGCCTTTTATGGGTTGGAACCGCTAATTCCATGGCCAGAACCCAGTTCCGGTCAAGTTATGGGTCGGAACCACCAATTCTGGGCCTTTTTTTAGGTGCCCTGAACTAGCTCTATTTGGAAGTTTGTAATTAATGATACTGAATTCAAATTTCAAACACTATCTAAAAAAATAAAAACAATGTTTTTTTAATGAAAATATTATATGGAAACAATTTTAAAACATTATCCACAATAAGAAAAAAAAAAATCTATATTTTCAAAAGATTCGAACAGAACAAAAAATAGTTACTCTTAATTTTTTTATGTTTTTGAAGCATGGGATATGATTTCTTATCTTATTGAAGCATGAGATATGATTATCTGTTTGAAATATGGGATATGATTAAGTTTACATTTGACCGCGCGTCGCAACGCGGCAAAATTATAATTTATATTTTCCTTAACCGACTTCTACCTACTAGTAGTAGTAGTGAGCAAGGGTCGATCCCACAGGGAGTGTGAATTAAATCGTGAATTTTCTCGTATTAACTGAAACTAAGAAAGCAATAAAAAAGGGGGGATTTTGAGATTTAATAACTAAACTAAATAAAATCCTAAGAAACAAAGGAAATAAAAATAAAATAGAATAAATAAAGAGAAAGCTTCTAGTTCACGGTTCTGTCTACACCCTCGACTGACTCGTCTAATCAATTCTGGTATCAAATCTCGCTATCTTATGAAATTACTAGCCCTAGGCAACGACACGGTCAGTTACCCGAATTTTTTCTTATTTTTAATTTAACCGCGAGACGCTCGACGATTAAACCTGACTTCTTGTACAGTCCAGAAAAACGTTTTCAAGATTTAATACAATTAGCCGCTTTACGAATTAGAAAAATAGGCTAGACTAAGTAATGAACTCAACCGCGTTCGTTCACTTAAATAGGCCGTGTTATCCCCGGTAGTTACCATCTTCCGGTTACCTCTTATGAATTAAACACAACAACAATTACGGATTGCAGGTCTAACTCAGATGTAGATATGAAAAGCCTAATCTAGGTGATCAATCTAAACAAGACTAACATATCATGGTGAATTATTCAAAATAACACAAACAATTCCAAAAAGATAACTCAATAATCAACCACGAAAATTAATCAAACATCGTCAAGTCGTAAGGTTCAACATCACCGGAACTAGAAATAAAAACTACTCTAACATAATAAATAAAAATAAAAAGATAAAAGAGAGAGATTAATTATCTCCCTCGTGTGCGGGTGCGGCCTCCCTCCGCGATTGATCGGGCTCCTTGTACTTTTCCTCTGTCTGCGTCTTTTTGCTCTTGCGTGAATAAAATTATGGCTGCTGTGCGTGAGTTCTCCTCCTTTTATAATTCTTGCTGCTATTTTCTTTTTATAATGTGACTTGGTGGCTGCGTGTATATTTCTTCTCCAAGCAATTAAATAAATAATAAGTGTCCTCCAAATGATACTCCAGGCCTGCGTATTAAGCCCTTGGATGTTCTCTTTTAGTTTATTTCCTTGGGTCTCCCTTAAAATTGGGCTTTTTATTTAATTCTTTAACAATTGCGTCCAAATATGTGAACAATATTGGCCCGAGTATGGGGTACCAGCTCTGTTGGTAGCAGAATATGGGGCACCCCCGTACTGTCTGCTTCAACCTTCCTTCGACGTCTCGTCGTCCATAAAAATACTCCAATATCCTAAAAATAAACCATAAAAATATCAAAGCACCACAATCCATCTAATAAATAAATAAGTCGAAAAACAATATAAGTGCGATAAAATTAAGCATATAAAAGTACGCTAATAAATATATAAATATGCACTCTTTCCGACCAATCAACATTCTTAATAACAATCTCAACTACAAACAAAAAATCCTCTTAAATTTCGATTATCCCTTTGAAGATATGATTATCTATTTGAAGTATAGGATATGATTAAGTTATTTCAAATGATGTTTTTATGATTTTTTTAATATTAATTTGTATTTAAATTAATGCTCAATCTTACCTAATTTATTTTACATTAAGACCTACACGTACCATCACCTAGATGAACATATCTTTTAAATCATGATTAGTGATCTTCTAAAACCATCTCCAAAACCTCCTAGATGAACATTATCTTCTAAATCATACTCATCTTCTAAAACCATTTCCCAAACCCTCATCTTCTAAATAATGATTAGTCATCTTCTAAAACCATCTCCCAAAACATCTCCTAAATCATAATTAGTCATCATCTAACACCATCTTCCCAAACATATCTCATAAATCATGATTAGTCATCTTCTAAAATCATCTCCCAAACCCTTGATGAACATTCTCCTAAATCATGACTAGTCAAGACTCGTGCGATGCACGTGATAATATAATTTACTGGAATATTTAATATTTCAATATTAGAATTAATAGACTTCTTATATGTGAACAAAACTAAATGGGTCGCAAACAAATTAAAATATTATAAATTATTGCACACTTCTTTATACATAACGTTTTTTGTTTGATTTGTTAGCGATTCGTTGTCACCACATACTAATATTTTCGAGTCACTTCGGTTGGTGACATGGGAGACAACAACGTATAACTGTCCATGACTGAAAACCGGCTTTTTAGGAAATAAACCAACATGCGCTAACAAATGTCCCTAACTCTTGTTTGCAGTCATGGTGTAAGAAAACATAATAGGAAACTGTCGTCGTTGGAACTTGAAAGGAATTATGACATCAGAAGGAGTTATAGCTATTCTAAGAATCAACACCTTCTTGTATGCTTAATCCCAGTGAGTATCTTACACCCGAGAGCATGAGTAGAGAGTTTTGTCACTACCAACCGCGTCGCATTACATAGACTTACAGAATGATCTATGCTTCTCAACAACATGACGAAAGTTTCAATCTTCAAATGCAACTTGATGATTTGGAATTCCCAAACAATGGTACTATTCAAGAACTCAGACGTGTGTAGATCAAACAAAAAATTGTATTAGAGTCTGACTTGCACGTACTATCAGAAATTGAGTACACATGATCATCAGACAAATTCAACGATGTCACGTACTCATTGATAGATTCAACAACATCCAGTGTCGGTGAAAATATAGTCATGTCCTTCAAATAATTGGGATCATCGGTTGTCTGCTTAAACAATGGATACCTGCGTTCAATGATTTGAGCAATCAGGTCATCATAGGGCTCAAGAAATATATCTTTAGGTATGTATATCATTGCAAAACCATCGTTATATCCCTTGTAGTTCCATCTACAATGCTAGCTATCCAATCTGCAAACTAAGCGATTTCATCATGTTATTCTGAATCTATAAGGCTCTGAAGAAAATAAGTTCAAACGCAGGTTCTACCTTGTAACACCGATGAATATTTTCGATCGAAGAAAATAATAGAGTGTCAGTTTGAAAGCAGTCGGGGCTGGAGAGTCGTCGCTACTCTTAGCCTAGGCAACATTATTTTATATAGGGAATGGCGTAGCTTCCTCCGCGACAATGGCGTGGAACAAGGGGAGACAATTGTCTTCAATAAAGTCGGCGTCGATATGTTTGAAGTTGTTTGTTTGGATGAGAAAGAATGTGAAAAATCCGTTCCTTCTGTGGGATATCGACCAGCCTATGCCGATCCACAAAATTTTATGACTTAGTATTTTTATTTTTAATATGTAATATTTTTAAAATGTAATATTATTAAATATTATAAAATATAAATAATTATTGTCATATTCAGTCTTTTTGTTTATTTTATGGCAATTGCGTCTTGACTTTATTAGTTTACTCACACAACATGATATAGTAAAACATTATTATGCGCTTTTTATTCTCATAAATGCTCAGGTTCATTCACATACAAAAAATAATTATTTACCAACTATTGCAATTTATCGCCTAATATGTAACATAAGTTATCGCATAATATGTCTGAAACTGCTCAATTATCATCGTCTGTCTATCACATAATTTATTGCATAATGAAGTCGTATTTGCTTAATTATCTTCGTTTTTTATTAAATAATAACTATACGAGTATTAATCGCAGATTACGAATTTACCAAATATGCAATTTCAAATAAATTAATCTGCAATTAATTATGTGTATAAAGTTTCACCTAATCATCGTATATTCCTATAGAAAAATAAAAGAAATGATTATGCAGGTCATAGTCTGATGCATTTTTAATAAAGAAATAAATATAAAGATTTTGCTATTTGATATTTGTATCTCTTTGACAGTTTGTCGTAGTGTATCTGAAATATTCCCATTTTTTTTTTTGTATTAAGTAATGACTATGCGAAACATATGCGTTAGAAAATATGTTGAGTAATAATGAAGAGTACGAATTTACAAAAAATAAATTTCAAATTATGCGTACAAAAAATCGCGTAATAATCGCATAAATTAATTAAAAAATTAAAAAATATCTTAAAAATAAATTGATCTGCGACTAAAATGTGATAGACCCGCGATTGATCAAATTGTTCACCCAAATACCTACATATATACGTCGCCTATACGTCACATAGTTTATCACATAATGTTTATATGGTCAATTATCTTTGTCTTTCTTTCGCTTAGTTTATCACACATGTATTTTGCACTTTCTCCACTTGGCTAATAATCTTCGCTTCCGTGTCGCATGGTTTATGTTTATCGTATAATTTATTTGACACTTTATCATTTAATTTCGTCTTATCGTGGTATAATTTATCGCATATAAGTTTCGCACTTTATCAATTAACTTTGTCTTCCTATCGCATAACATTTTATGCACTTCATCAAGTATCTTCATCTTTCTATCGCATAGTTATCGCATAATATATTTTACAATTTTTCATTTATCTTTGCATTTGTGTCGCATAGTTTATCGCATAATATGTTATGTACGTTATCAATATCATATTTTATTTCGAACTATATCAAATATCTTCGTCTATTTGTCTCATACTTTATCGAATAAATTGTTTCGCATTTTATCAAATATTTTCGCCTTGTTGCCGCATTGTTTATCGCATGAGTTCTTTCCCACTTTATCAATTATTTACGCATATCTGTCGCATAGTTCATTGTATAAGCGTTTTCACACTTTATCAATTATTTTCGTATGTATTTCGGATAGTTCATCGCACAATTTTTTTGTATTTTATCAATTATTGTTGTCTGTCTATCGCATACCTCATCCTATATTTGTTTGGCACTTTATCAGTTATCTTCGTTTGTCTGTCGCATAGTTTATCGCATAAATAATTTGTACTTTATCAATTATCTTCGTTTGTACTTTATCAATTATCTCCGTTTGTTTGTGCATAATATTTGGCACTTTATAAAGTTATCTTTGCTTGTATCTCACAAAGTATATTGCATAAATGATTTCGTATTCTATGATGGTGAAAAAAATAACTTATTATTATTTACACCCAAAAACTTATTTTAGAGTGAAAATAACTATTTCCACGTATTATTTTCTCGCACGCACAGTTGTGAATGAAAAGACAGGTTTGGTAAAGGTTATGATAAAAAATTCAAAACACAATTAGTACCACCATTCACAGTTCAGACATCTCCCCGGCTCGCCATCCGCCGTCCGGTAAGTGCTCACTTTTGATTTTAGTAATGTCGTTGGGTTTTTATGATGCTTGCCCAATTGTATTTACTACTGAATGATTAATTGGTCGCAAGCTTTATTTTGGAACGTTGTTTGTGAAGTTGAATGTTTGGGATGTCGAGCGACGAAGAAACGGTGGTAGTGGGATTGGGAATGTTTACGAGAAAATCTAGAAGCTAAAATTTTTGGATCTCAAGAATGTAGTCAACGTGTTTGATGAAATTCCGAAATGAATCTGAATTCTGAAACTCTTTTTCCCCTTAAAACCCTAATTTGTTCGTGGTTGCACATATTTCCTTTGCAGAATTCTAAGTTGAACTATTTTCGATTATCTTCTGTACGCGTGGAATTCATTTCTTTGTGCATTTTAACTAAAATTCTCGGTTAAAATTTCATAATTTGATTAATACGAACTTACAAAAAACTTCATTATCTTCTTTAAATACCTTTGGTTCTTGATTTGTAATTCAGGGTACAAAAATGGGCAGCAACTCGTCAGAAGCCGAGTACAATGCCTTCTTGAAGAAAGTTCAAAGGACAATCTATGTCGACAACTTGTCCCCCCAAGTTACTGAAAAGGTCATGAGAGCTGCTTTCGAGCAGTTTGGGGAAGTGGTCAGCATTCAATTCATCCCAAACTATTTTGAGCCGAAAAACATGCCTGTAGCCGCATTGGTGGAGATGGAGAGCCCAAAGCAGGCTCAAGCTATATTGGGCCAAATGGAGAACTACCCCTTCATGGTGTTGGGCATGCCCAGGCCCATCAGGTCCCGGCCCGCTAGGGCAGAGATGTTTGAAGACCGCCCAAGAAAACCAGGACAGAGGATCGTGTGCCGTTGGGTGGGCCCAGAGGATCCGGATTTTGAGGTGGCTAAGAAACTGAAGAATCTCGCGAAGAAACACGAGGCTGAGGCATTCGTGTTGCTCGAGGTACGCTTGGTTATGGTTTATTATGTTTGAGTTTTAGGGTATTTCAAGGAAAACTAGCCAAGGTTTAACTTAATGATAGAATAGCGTACTAGTGTTTCGACTATTTGTTGATTTTTTTTTTCCTAGTGTAGTTACAAATGCTAGGTTTAACTAAATAACAAGATACCTATTTGTGCTTTCAAAATTAGCCAACTGATGCTCGGGGTGTTTAGAACTAACTGGTGCTCAAGGTGTTTGGTTCGTCTATTAGCCAATTTTTTACGCTTAGAGATTTTACTGTTGTAGACATTTAGGTTATGTTTGGTTATCAAATTAGCTAGCTTATAGCTTATAGCTTATTTGGTTAGCTTATAAACTTCCTGTATTCAAATAAGCTAAGTTTGGTAGGACGAGCATTTCTAAAGCTCGAGCTTATCTAATAATCTTCTTCGGGTAGCTTTTCAAATAAGTTCGTTGAAATTTTTATTTCAACTAGCTCATCAGCGAATTTTACCAAACACTTTTATCATATAAACTAGTTTTTCAGGTACAACTATCAGTCATAAGCTATAAGCTCAAAAATCACTTATAAGCTATATAAGCTGGCTTATCAGCTAGTTTTACCAAACATAGCCTCAACCTATTAAGATAATCAAGTTTTCTTTTCAAATTACTAATACGTCTGTATGGTGTTACAAACATTTCTCTTGGAACGTTCTATTTCTTTAATCGAAACTGATATTGAAATTTGCGAAATTGAGATAGTAACGCTAATCTTGTATTCTCGAGCTTGAACAAATAATGGGATTTTGTAAATTGGCTAAACATCAAGGTTAGAGTTTCTGTTATTTATCGACTTCAATATTTCTATGGATGGTGGCTGGAAATTAACCATGTCAAATGCTGTTATCGTGTTGAATATGCAGCAACAAAGGGCGGAGGAGGAAAAGCTAGCAAAGCAACAGAATGAAATACTGAATGGCCATTACAAGAAGTTTGAGCTGCTGGAAGGTGTGTTTTTGGACGGGTCTGCTAAGAATTTGGGACATCAGTACAACTTGCCTCTTGCAGATACTTGATTAGTTTTCATTTCTATATATGTTGCCGATGAATAGACGAGCCTAAGTAGGAGTTCGAGGTTTTTGATTTAGGTGGTTGGTTGTCTTTAAGGGCTTTATTCCTTTTACCTTATATCAAAAACTCAATCAAAATGTAATTATCTCCGAGAACAAAATGTATGTTATGCTTAATAACGTTAGTTTGATCTGTATTAATTCTGCCCTTTATTTGAGTTGTTTTTTCTTTGGCCCGAAGCTTATGATTTTTTTTAATCCAATAGTATAAGTTATGTTAGTCATACCGCGTTCCTTTTTTCTTTTTCTTTCTTTTTAGCTTTTGTTTGCAAGCTGCTGTAAGGTTTCGAGTGACGGGCTAAGTGTGTAATGCCAAGCTATGCCAACAATTTGACTGGCTTTTGAAGTATTTTGCTGTAATTGTGTGTAATGCCAAGCTATGCTAACAATTAGACTGGCTTTTGAAGAATTTTGCTGTAATTGCTTGGTTGTGTTAACAGGCAAATCTTATTTTTTTTTTTAAAATATGAAAATACATAGAAATGAGGCTTGGCACTGTCAGATTTTTGTTTTACTTTGTTTATTTATTTATTTTACCCATATAATATTTATTTTACGTAATAAATATTGGAAAGATGATAAATGCCAGATATTCTTTTAAAACAATCTGGGGTAATTATACATTTTGTTTTTATGTGCACTGTACTATCAACTATGGTTTCAGCTGTATAAGCCATGAAAAATGATACATGACTCAAGTAATTGCTACATACCTCAACTGAAGCATATATATATAACACACAACAGTACTCCTTTCATCACCCAGAAACCCATTTTAGGTCTTAAACAATGAAATTATTTGCAGTTTTATACACACCCACAGAGAGAGAGAGAGAGAGAGTTTTACAAGAACATGTATTACAGCTTTTATTTAGTATCTACTTACAATTACAGGTCTTATACAGAAAATATGAAGACAATAACATAAAAACTGAAGCTACAATAATCAGCTAAAAACTCCAATTATTGATACAACTAAAAACTGAAGCTCATATGTTAAGACCTAATTTAGATAAAAGCCCCACCAATCTTCAAAGAAAAACCCCTCGACGTTTGTACTTACCTTGCAGAAGCGTACCTTCAAGAGGAATTGCAGTGTCGATCTATTTGTAAGGCAAAGCCGAACCTCAAAGCGTTATTTGTAATTCTAAACGATGAGCGTTTATTTTGACGATTACACTAAACCTCAGGGGCTATTTCCATGATTAAATTTTGTTTGAACTAAACCTTGACACTGAATTCGCACGAGTAAAATATCCTTCAGCAAAGCTAAGGATTTTAAAGTTACGAATTCGCTAAGCTTGCAGCTGATAACTAAAACCGAACAGCTGATAACTTGCAGTAAATCCACACCAAGATGGAATTATTGTCCTACAGATAAAAGTAAAGGAGAAGCATCAGCAACCATTATTAAAAAATATTAACAGATAGTAACAAATACTATCCTTGATATTCAGCTAAACAGTTATAATTCCATCGAGGCTTTGAAAAATCTTCGTTCAGAGGCAAAAACATCAAAAGGGGTCTTTGTAATTTTCAGATATACTAAATCTCAAGGATTCATATTTACTAAGCAATGTGTAATAACACTGACCTTCGCAAACTTTTTTCTGATTCATAATTATTATTGAACAACGTGTAGCTCTTGTCTCGAAATAAAGTACTGGCCGATAATATCTGATTTTTCCATTATAAACTGCTCGTGAAATGTCCCCACGCGCACGCTAGGTAAGTCGATCGAAAGATCAGAAAAAGTGGGCAAGCCCTCTACTTGCACTCCATCCCCACAAATCAAGAACTGATTCCCGATTATAAGCGACCCGTTTGCCCGAATCGCAATCGCATTTTGGTCGTGAGCACGGCACTGAAGTTTTTCAACAACGTGCACGAGCTTTTGAGAAGACCAATTTCCATTCAACGTCATTCGAATTTGTGATAATGTATAAAATATTTCATCTCGCCCAACCGACTCTTTCCCGCCAAAACTGCAAGTCGTGAGGAAACCAGAATTCACATAGCTGCAACTGATCTTTCTATGCGAAATAAATAAATAAACCCGATATTTACGGGGTTATCTGTATTTCGATTAGTTAAGGTCTTTCAAATTCTAGCCATAAACAATATTTATTACCAGAAAACCGAATCCTCTTCATAGAAAGTCTTCACGTAATGCCAAAGATCATCCACTCCATCGAAGAGTAAGTAATAGTGGATTGCCAGCATCTGATTGAGCATGGCACTTACTTAAGAAGAAATACAACGAAATGGACCCATATTATAAATCAAATGTTGAAATGCTCAACTCACATCTGCTAGATCCTTTAACCTCTGTGTCGGCTCAAATATACTTTGGACAAAAGTTTCCAAGTTAACCCCAGCATTCTCATACTTTGTGATGAATGGATGTGAAAGTAACTGCAAACCACGCGAAAAAACGAGAAAATAAAATTCACTCAGTGTGGAGTGAGGACAGAGTTATTGTTCACACTTCAACATTCTAATATAATATCGATAACAAAAATTAAACTTCCAATTGCCTTCTAATACTCCAAATACAGAATTTTCTGTTAAAAAACGTGGAGATAATGCAATCTATTGTTTACTCACCTTCTCAGCTGTAGGTCTATCAGCTGGATCTTTCTGGAGGCAATCATTAACAAACGAACAAAATTCGGGAGAGAAATTCTTGTCCGATAATGAAGGAGATGGATCATCCAAAATCTTCAACAGATATTGACGTCATAAATGTCAAAATTCAGACATGTTAGTTATCAAGAATGACACTAAAATTTGAATATTAATAATTTAATTTTTTTTTTCGTCCTTCCTTTCTGTCTTTCTTTCTTGTTTATACATACATACTTTTATATATATAGCATATCATAAAAAATGAAGTAAAGTTTTCTGTAGAACAATGCAAAAGGCTGCATTCCAGTGTGTGTTTACCTGTAACATAAGATTAACAGGACCGTCATTTGCACTGTATGGAAACTCACCAGTCCCACATTCGAAAAGCGCAAGGCCGAGGCTCCAAATATCAGCCGGATAAGAATAAGTTTCATTACGAATTCTCTCAGGAGACATATAAGTGACAGTTCCAACAAAAGTTGCACACTGGAATGCAATAATTAAAAGATAGCATCAATACGGTAATTCAAAATATTCAATAATATATATATATATATATATATATATATATATATATATAAGAGAAGGCCAACGGATAAGTTTACAAGACAAATAGCACAAACCATAGCCATCGAATCCTCTAAGCCAGCACTTATACCAAAATCTGTAATCTTCGTCTCGCCCTTGAGGTTTATGAGCAAATTTGCAGGTTTGATATCTCTGTGGACTAAGTGTCTAACTCCATGCAAGTAATTTAGTCCCTTAGAAAATAAAGAAAAGTTTTCAAACACAATGCTTAAGTTTAAAAATACTAATCCCCAAGGTTTAACCTTACCCAAAAATCCGCCTCTAATAAAGGTATAATAACTTTTAAAAGAGAAATGCGACAACGGACTATTTGTACGTTTGAAAAACAATGTGAATATATGTAATAAAGCTAAAACTTGGGGATAGTCACAGACATTACTTATACAGTGAGTATAAATTGGGAATGAAAAAAAGACTCACTATTAAGAGTTTATGCACCATTACAGAAAGAATGGGTTCTGGTATACTTTTACGTATGCGAATTACATCTGCTAAAGATCCACCATCCATGTACTCTAAAGCTATGCTTATCTGTCCAGAGTCTGGTGTATAAAAAGCACCATAAAATTGGACAAGGCCTTCATGACATGGGGCCTCACACAATGTTCTTATTTCAGTAAGAAGCTGCTGTCTTTTTTCCTATAACCACAAATATCATTCAATTAGACGGATACACAATATTTTATCGTCTACCTACTACTTGTTCAACCCTGATTCCACCTTCAATTTACACTTTTCTTTTCAAAGCATACCTAATTTCTCACTTTTCTTTTCAAAGCGTACCGAACTTCTTTGATTTTGTCCCTACCCTCGCTCAAGTGTGTTTGCTTAAATTCTAAACAACAAACTCTTACGCAAGAAGAATACATTACAATTCATTGATATCTTTCATGTATCAAAATTTCTACGAATCTAGCACTAGCTAATTGTGATGGTACATATAAACAAAAATCTTAAATTTAAATAATTGTTTTTCGAGGTTAAACTGCCAAGTCAAGGTAGTTCAATAAATGAAAAACATTTATTTTACTACTGCAGTGTGGAGATCATCAAAGCTGACTTTCTACATTTAAATTTTGAAAAGTTATCGCAAACAAATCATTAAGAAGCAGCAGAGCAATTAAGCAACCATTCAGAAACACCAAAGCAATTCCTCAAGTACCCATCAAGAAAAATCACAGGCTACACCAGAATCTAAGCAACTATCACACACAAACACACACACACACACAGAGTGAACCTTCTCAAAGATATTAATCTTCTTGAGAGCAATAATTCTGTGATTGGGTATATGAATAGCCCTCTGAACAACACTGCTGGCTCCAGACCCAATTGACCCAAAAATCCTCATCTCATGAGAAGCACATCTGTACGTTTTCTCGCCCTCATCAGCTAAAAACGGCCATGGCGACGATGATGAGCTACATTTCTGCAGGCCCATCTCGTTTATGTTGTATATATTGTATGATCTGCTCAGCAAATTCACGGTTCCACCATCTGAGACCTGCCCACAATGCAAATTATTTTTCTTTATTCAATTTGGCATATGAATCAGCAAGAAATCATGGATAACAGGATCAAAAGGCAAAAATTTTATTCAAAAAAAGAACACATTTTTTACCATGTAAGAATCAGTAGGATCAATTGTCGACCCAGATGAGAAACCCTTCTCGGCATCGAAGAGGGGCGCGAGCTTTTTCCTCAGCTCCTCGAGTCCGGCCATGGGAGGAACTAGGAAGCTTGAATTCAAGGAAACGTTTAGAAAGGGCAAAAAAGATCGCTCCTTTTTTTTCTTGGCTAAATGGGATATTGAGGTATCATGGTAGGAACCATTCTATTCTTGTTTTTTTCCTTTGAAAGGGCAAAGGTTTTAAAGTTGTTTAACTGAGTAGTGGGCAAGTTGTGCTGGTAACCAACACCACCTGATCTTGTGCAAGGTGGTGTTCATTTTAGGAAAATTTGGATTTTTTTATTTACCCGCAAACAATTGTGATTTGGTACTTTGCTTATGGTTTGAAAGTCGGTAAAATACCTCTTGAAATGTATGAAATGGACATTTGGCCTTTCCATTTAAGTTGGTTTATTTGACTAGAGATGAAATGACATAAAAATGAATGGAAAGTTGTTAGGCCCACTAACACTATACAGTCAAAATGTCAACAGAAATTACCAACAAAAAGATTTTCTTTGGAGGATTACTAACGGATTAAGAATGCGTTATATATATAAAAAAACTTGTATGGATTGCCAACAAAATAATATAACAGAAATTATCAACGGAAAGATTTCTATTGAAGATTACCAACAAATCACAAGCTTAGTAATGTGCTATATATACAATTTTTTTATACGAATTGCCAACATAATACTAATAAATTATTGCACGGGAAATATTTATTTTTATTCGGTCGGCTAATAGTCATGGAAAATATCCATTAGTAAACACCAACGAATATACAACAAAATTGCAATTGATTTGTTCATATATAGTTGTATTAGCACTGAAATTTTTTCTTACTAAATAGCAACATATATATTTTATTGGTAAATACCAACGAAATTGCAGCAGATTTATTCATAATTGTATTAACAACGAAAAACTCCGTTGTTAAATCATTAAAAAATCAAATTTTAAAAAATATACTATAAAATAATATAATTTTTTTAATACTGTATTTTAAAATATGAGATTTAAGTATGAAAGTATATAGTTGTTGAACAAAAATAAAATGGTGATTAGTAGTATTGTAAAACTAATATTTTGATGTAACTGGAGTGAAAGTAATTTGTAAGGTTTATGATTGGACAGCAAACAATATGTCGATTTTTATGAGGTGATAATGTTTATTTGAAATCAAGGGCATTTTTTTTAGGAGCATAAAAAACACTAGTTTACATGATAAAATAGTGTATGTATTTTCTTGGTTGTATTTTTGGAAATGTTCCCCTTATTATTTTGTAGAACCACAATGTTTTGGATAAATATTTATGAACCTTATTGAATTTTGTATAATTTCATTCGTAGAAAGTAGTAACTCCATAATAATTAGATGTCAGTAATAAACTAACAATTAATGCATAATATTGGGTGACAATATCTACATGAAAAGCATTTAAAATAACATGAGAAAGAGAATGCCGCCAATAAATCCGAGTACAATACTTGCAATGGCATTTACCAAATTAATTAAACATAACATTGTTTATGGTGAAGAAGAAAGTGAATGCCATTGCTCATCAACAAGAATCACGAATGAAAAAGGGAATCAAACATTCTAATTAACTATCGAACAATATCCAAATAATTTTTGCTTAATAGCCAACGAGCCTTGATAATATTGCTCGACCATTCGATATTGCATAGGTCATTCTTCTGATGCTACTCGGGTTTTTTCTGCTTTTGCCAAAAAAAAAAAAAGGATGATTTTTAATTCAATAACTCCAAAGAATACATCATGAGCCTAATAATTATTAAAGTGCCCAACAGAAAACTTATTTTTTTTGTATATAATGACAATTTTTATTAAAAATAAAGTTATGGAGCACAAATATAAAAGGTATATATTTTCTATTTGCCTACTCTTCGTGATAGACTGTAAATAGCTTCGATGAAGTGAAATAAAATTTCGAGAAAGTGGAAAAATCTGATCATACGTGTGAGACAGACTAACCATTAAGCAGTTTCATTCAATTTCAACAAAAAAAAAATGCATATTTGTGATATAAAATATGACAACAAAATTTACATTGTAGAGTAACATTTCAATTCAAAAAAGTATACATATCTGTTGAGAAAGTATCGTTGTCAAATCAGACGGCCTAACAATAAATTTGATATTTCAAAGGATTTAATGTAATTCATCTAATAAAGATATATAATTTAATATTTTAATTGCATAAAATTATATATACCTTCTCATAAGATTTCAAAATGGCTTGCAGCAACCTGTCTCCAGCCACGCTCCTTAGGGTTTGAACCATTTCATGCCTCATTATTTTGCGAGTCTGCAAATCAAAAAGGTGGATTTATTTAGTTTTTAAATTAGAGTTAATCAATCAATTAACTAATTAATTAATTAATTGTATATCTCAACATATATAGAAAGATCAATTTAAATATCACTTACTCTATAGTCCTTGTATCTCTCGATAACCAGCTTGAGTTTGTCCCTTGGCAAGGCGCTAGACAGGGCATTAATGAGAGTTGGAATAGGTATCCAACTTCTCACAGGCTGTAAAACCCTTAAACATGCTGTGACAAATAAAGTAATTATTCCAAGTTAGACCTTGAACTTTAGGCATATTGCCTTTTAGTCCCCATAGACAATCTGGAACATACCGGTTTTGGTACTAAAAATATGTTTGAGCGACCGAAACATATTATATGGGATTTGTAGTTTTGGCAAGTCGGATACACGTTTCAAGTCTAGGGTTCGAGTACTGAATAGATCGATCATAATATGAGTAGTTTCTACCGACAACGTACACCTACTATAATATAACATGTGAGACAAAAATGGCAAGTTGGATGCACGTTTCAAGTCTAGATTTCGAGTATTGACTATTAAGAGTATTGACTATTAATTGATCGATCGTAACATGTTGTTCACTAGTAGTATATACCGATGATATAACATGTGTGACCACATGGCAAGTCGAATACACGTTTCAAGCCCGAGATTCGAGTAATGAATCAATCGATCATAGCGTGTGCTTTGCAAATCAGATACATGTTTCAGGCATGAGGTTCGAGTAATTGAATCAATCGATCGTAGAGTGTGCTTCGCAAGTCGGATACACGTTTGAAGGTATAGGGTTCGAGTACTGAAGCGATCGATCGTAACATGAGTAGTGTCTACCAACAACGTACACGTACTATTATATAGCACGTGTGACAAAAATGGCAAGTCGGATGCACGTTTCAATTCTAGAGTTTGAGTATTAACTGACTAATGATTGATCATAACATGTTGTTCACGAGTAGTGTCTACCAGTGATGTAACACGTGTGATTACATGGCAAGTCGGATACACATTTCAAGTCTAGAGTTCGAGCATTGGTTAATCCATTGATAGTAAAATGTACTTCACTAGTGGTGTGTCTACCGACAACACATGCAATCATATAATATGCGACGACACATTGTCAAAATAATAATAAATATTTACTTTTTGGTCTATATGTAGTTAACTGTCAAGGGCCGTATGTTAATGTTTTGCTTGATTAAATAACTCACCGCCGGTGCATGGAGATGTTCGGAAACTGACGACGAAGTCAGGCAGCACGTGAGTATTCATCTTGGTGTGCCAGACGAGATACTTCTTGGGATGCGTGAGATCATCCACCCCATTGTCGAAAGCTTCGAAACTCGGATTCTCTTGCCCGGAGAATGGATTGACGACCTCCATGTTTCCCATTAGCAAACGACAAAGCAACATATGCTTAACGCCTTCCTCATCCGCAATCGACGACTCCAAACTGGAAAATAGTATTAATGATTCCATTTATATATATATGGTGTGTTTTACTGTTTTTTAACTTAGAAACAACCTAAACCTAGCTAGCTTTCAAAATTCAAATTCTTACATTAAATGATCAACACACTCTACTTTTCTTTTCCTTTTTTAGCCAAAAACCCTAATTCAATCTTACCCGTTTATAGCTCGATCGAGAGAGTTGAAATAAACACCACGTGGAGAAACCCGGTTAATATTGCTTGTCGGGAGCCCGAACCCATGCGCAAGAATCATGTTAATCTCACTTTTTGACGCACCATACCAACCGTACTTAATTATGTTCGGACCTCCTCGGCGCATCCTCTCGGTGGCCACAAAGCACACATGGAAACACTCGAACCTCACCCGGCTCCTAACGCTCGAGCAATAATCGTGCTTGTAAATGGACTCCGTGCGAGCGTGAACTCGATTAGCGCGCAAACTCGACACCAACCTTGCATTGATGGTGTTGTACACCCAATCGGTGGTCGGGACTCGGACAAAGCCGTTCGAGAGCCAATATTTGGGCTCGTCGTTGGGGATGGGTGACGATGTCACCAGAGTGACTACATTGGAGGGTTGATTTTGCTCGGGGCTCGGGTTGACTTCGGAGTTGGCATCGGTCGAGTTTGTTGATTGGGAGGTTTGACTTTGGTCGGAGCTCGGGTTGACTTTGAAGTAGGCATCGGTTGAGCTCAATGATTGGGAGGGCACATTGGTGAGTTGCTTGTTGTTGTTCATATCTCAAATTCTTAGTCCTGAAAAAACAAAAATAAAAGGAAAAAAAAAATTAGGATCCTAGTACCAAAGTTAACCCTTCATGACTATTGTTGAGTTTATTGAATGGACTGACTAGAGATTGAAATGTTTTCACTTTTCACTATAATTGAGTTTATATAACAATATTAAAATAAATACATAATAAAAGGAAAAAACCAACATACAATGAACGCCAAATAAAAGGAGCTGCAAATTCAACATGCAAAACCAGTGATTTATTCACAACTACATATTAAAACTTCTTATAAAATAAACTAAACTAAACCATTACTCCAAGATTTATGAAAAAAAAGAACCAAAAATAGCTCAAAACTCAGTCTGAAAATCAACAGAGAACCAAGGAAAAATTTTAAAAAGGAGCTCGAAAGTCGAAACAACTTACCGATTCTAACAGAGAGACTGAAAACTACACTATAGAATATGATTTGAGGTGCAAGAAAATGGTAGAAAAAGACGCTCTTTATATAATCCGAGCAAATAGAGAATATTCCCTTTTGTGTGTGTGTGTGTGTGTGTTTGTCCCGTTAAGGATAGTAATAAAGGGCTCATCCGAAAGTTGGTGGCTCTCATTAGTAATATCCTACTCGGGCTTTGCATGAACGAGGACAGCTTTTAGGTTTTCATTACATAGTAACAAAGGTTGTTAGACAGCTTTCTTGGAAATGTTTCCATCTTAAATTCACATGAGCTGTATGACGTCATTAATAGGCCCGCAACTCGTGCGGCATGTACGGAAGGAACGGTAAAATATATATCGGCAACGATACTCGGAAATTTCACGTACGGCATGTACGGACTGTTAAAATATCGATGTCCGATTCTAGAAACTTTGGCAGAAAATGAGGAAAGACTAGCTAGTAAGTAGACTTTTCATAAATTGATGAGACAAAAAGTGTACAATAAGTTTCTGCAACTTCTAATATTCTTAAGAAAGTTTGGAATGTTGGAAATATACTGTAATGCATGTGTGCTAAAATTGTCTAGTAGTTTTTGTGACAAACTTTACAATGCTAATAGCAATTGTTATGTTAAAGTTAAAGATCACAAATTACTCTTTGGTGTAAGAGTCTACAGTTAGAAAATTACTAGATACACCCAAATATTTGGGTGTATTACTCTTTAAATTCCAATCAAATACATCCAAATAAGATAAATGAATTTAAGTTGTCCTTTTGACTGTTTTAAATGTTTTGGGCAGATTGTATTTGGACTGTTTTAATAAGGTTTTTGGGCAGATTGTATTTGGACTGTTTTAATAAGGTTTAGTTGGATGTTAGGCCATGAAATATAATTAAATATGACATGGTTCAAGTATTTGATATTACGTGAATTCAATCCTCCGATATATATGACATAATTATTGCAAATATCTCTAGATTGCATCAGTACTAAACTGAAATATAACAAATCCTACGATATTGTATCGGTTTATCATACGTGAAAAAAACATAATATGAATNTGAACATGTGATTGGATAAAGATATTATAAATTTTTTAATTTTAAATGCAAACAAAAGTGAAATTGTTCAACAATTCTTTTTTAAATTTAATAAATTCAAATTATTTAGACGGAAATTTATTAATGTAATTACTATTTAAGTAAATAGAATGTCATTTTAGATATTAGTAGATGTAGATAAAGGTTACTAAGCAGCGGTAGTCCAGATTAAAACGTCATATGTAAGCAACAAAGACAAAATAAAAATCTATATTAATGTGTGAACAAAAAGGGGGCTTGTTTTATGTGTGAACACTGGCACGCGTTACGTATGAACCAAGCAAAGAAAATCAACCAAAGTGAGTAAAAACAACAAAAAGAAGCACATGATTCTTCAATTTTTCTGTGATGTTGTAAGAGGTAATTAATTAAATTGTTTAATGGCCCGGCCCGACCCACAAATTTACCACGTTATCCGTTCGAGTTGAATTTCGAAGGCGTCATAATCTTATGAACGAGAATATTTGGGGAAAAGCTTTTTTGGGATATTTTATTAATTAAGTGTCAAAAATTGTTAGTCATGTCAATTTCGATCAAAATTTATAATATAAAAAATAAGTAATTTTATCTTAAAGATATTATATTATGCATATTCAAAGCATGTTAAATAGCTATTTTTCACTGTTTTTAGGACTATTGTTTCGAAAAGCTCAAGCGATACTACATTTGCACAATGGTTTAGTTCGAGAAATAGGATATGGGTCTGTTGGATTGAAAATTTTAGTATTAGGCACTATTTTATAAGTTGATCAATCTTTGTTCTTGATAATATTTTTACAAATTAATCTGTATTTTACGAGTTGATCAATCTTTGTTCTCGATAATATTTTTAAAAATTATCTGATTCGTCGAGACATTCGAAACAAAACGATTATTTAAAATATATCGCTATGCGATATTCCGTATACATATCACATAGATGTTTAGTTTGCCATAGTAAATACAACTTTTCTCAAGCTTTTATTGCTCTATAATAACTACATTACAATAACATGTGTATATTTCATATTTATTTACGAGAAACTCTAATAAATATATCATATACCACCCAAATAGTCATTAACAACTAACCAAATAATTTCAAAACTAATTAACAACTATATTAGTATGGAAATAAATACTAAATATTCATCATATTCCAATTCGTGATCTCAAAATAATGAAACCTTTATTACAATTTTCCATACTTAATTGTTCAAATCTACAGGTACACCAAATATTCCTTTATTTATAATATTCACGAGTAATCCTAAACAATATTAGTAAATTTCCCATCCCATGATTGCATCAAACAATGTTTGTAAAACGATACTGTATTTATTATTTTCTAATATAAGTCAATTAGTCAACGCTGGATTTAAAATTAAATTACGCTTTCCAATTTCCAATTTGATAAGGCCAATGACGTAGACCGATTGTCCCCCTTACAAGTGGCAGAAATGTACGCTGCACCGTAGACCACCCGATCACAGCCTTCCCGTGGCCCGTTTGCCTCTTTTTTGTTTT